AAGCTGAACTGACAACGACGTGAACCCAAGTTTCAATTGCTATGAAGCTGAAGGCACTGCCCTACACATTCAATGCATAACTGGATCGGCACTCTAGAACCATCCAGTGCCTGAAATCCACCAAACCTCAAGCGGGCTTCGATCAAGACATGGCGAAGTTCGATGAACTGGCAGACGTTCCAACACAAGGCAGCAATGCCAGGGAGACCTCAGAAGCCGAACCACCACAGGAAGACGGCTGGCGTCCCACAGTCCATGAGGAATCGGAGGCGGACTTCGAGGCACGCATTATGGAAGTGCGGCATGCGGATCTACAGGACGAAAAGGGAACTGTTGGAAACTACTCCAATAGAAGAACTCTACACTGTACCCACACATATGATTTCTGGTAACAGCGCGCTGGTCACAATAGCTGAAGAACAGCAAGGGCACTTGCCTACGTGGGGTAACCCACATGATGTTTACACAATTGAGACATATCATGTCCCGGCGAGCACGGACAATATGCAGAACTCTGCTTTACGGCCGAAAAGTCAAAGATAGTCTTATCCGAAGAACATCGGATATGGGACGTCGACCGTGCCACTACGATGCGAGTATACGTGACCGCTGCAGCCAAGCGAGCTGCAGTCGCCAAGGAGGACGACCTTGTCACAAAGGCAGACATTCAGGCGAATCCAGTCAAGGTATCGAGAACCCTATATACTGAAATCAAGACCTGGTTCGGGAACAAGTGTGTCAACATTCAAGACATATCCCAAACGTCAAACATCATGACTTCGAGATGCGCATGAACATGGAAGTTCGTCAAGGACGAAAAGGGCGACATGGAACGCACTATCAGGTTACGCCTGGTACTTTGGGGCGCCATGGACCTCGAAGCCTTTGATGTAGAAGCGTCCTCAAGAACGGCGCGGCGGCCAAAATAGCGATCACTCGCGGTCGCGCCAGCTTGCAGGGGGCAGTGGATCATTGCTTCCTTTGACATCAACATGACTTTCTTAAAAGGAACTCACGCATCAAGCGCACGCTGGAGCGACCGGTCAGAAGGAACGCGCGGCGTTCTTCACGTTGCCACCTGGGTCAGCATCCGTGCTCAGATCTTTCCCAGGATTCGAGCACTATGATGAGTCAATACACTTTTTGCAGTGCCTTGAACCAGGCACTCGCACCAAAGATGCACCAAGAGCCTTCCCACTGAGGCTCAGGAAGACCACGAGAGGCTTCCGACTCAGACCCAAGTCTTACGATGAGGAATTCGAATCGAGCCCTGACCTTCTCACTGCCAAACATGACGATGATGTAAACACCGCCGGTACCGAGGACAGCATTGACAAGTGCGTCAAGTGCGTTGAGGAAATCTTCGGAACATGTAGACTCAACGAACACACGTATACCAACTGTGCTGTGAGATGTGCGAAGGTCAGCGACGGCAGTGTCACTCATGACCAATACGAACGTATAAAACAGCTCCGTCCTATCCAGCACCACGAACTCACGAGCGCAAGTGCCGAGGCTAAGGAATCAAAGATGGTCACTGACATGCTTGTCAGCCTCA